CTCTCTCTATTGGTATCCATCTTTTCTACGTTTTGTTAAGGTATTTAATGTATATGGCCGTTACTTTTCTTAAGGTGCCAACAACATGCAACTTGCCAAAAAGGCATTGTTCTATTGTCCTAAAAGATGAAAGACCTCGAGGACCCAAGTTGAAGTAATCAACATAAGTTTATATGAGTCTAATAGATAAATATCCAGAATTGACTATAAATTAGATGCATTTATGAAGAAGAACATATGAAGCGAATTTGAGCCAAGTATCTACATTCATTCTCTAACTACTTTTTGCTAGTATATTTTGTTTCTGTACTTTATTAATTATATATCCACTAGAGAGAGTTTCTAAACAAGTAGCAGTTCATTATTGAACCTACTCTATTCATCATTCAATTAGTCAGTTGAAACAAAGGAACTTAAGCTTAAGGAGCTAAAGGGAGTTGATTTACCTTTGTAAAGGAGATAGTTGTAGACTCAATAAGGATTATAAATTGTACTATGATAACCAAGACCCTGGCTTAATCTTGGTAAGAGATAATGAAAAATCTCAAACGTATCGTAAGAACTGGACATAGGCTTAAATAGTTAAAGCTAAATTAGGATAAATACTTGGCGCAAAGCTTTTCTTTCCTTACTCGGCTCTGTTCGGTGATATTGTTTCCTAGTCCTCATTTAATTCTTACATTATTTGTTTTAAATTTTATTTTGCTCAATTCACCCCTTTGTGGGCAGACTTTCCATTCTCCTGACGAGACATGCCCATGAGGCCCATGCACAGTAATAAATAAGACTCCAACCATGTCCTTTGGTACTAATTTGCCCTTGAATTCTTTTTTCAGGAGTACTAGACATCTTAAAGTCTTTTTCTAGAAGCGTTGGGTACCCTGAAGTCTTATGAAAAATAAAATTTAATAATATTATTACATATTAATATTTTATATTTAATAATTTAAATATTAGTATTTATAAATATTCATCCAAAGTTTAGTAAAAATAGGTGTTAGATATACAAATTTTTTTTTATATATTTATTATTATGAGGTTTTTGCATATATAGCCCATATTATAGGACCAAACTAGATAAACAGCCCATATTTATTATATTTTATATTATAATTAATTTATTATATTTGTTAATGATATATCATTATATATCAATAATAAACCTCTTGTATGTTTTAAATTTTTAATGATAAATTCCTTGTATATCAATGGCAAACTCCTTAGAGATCAATGACAACAGGCTATATTCCCAAATTTTAAAAATTTAATCCATATTTTTTGAATACAGTATTTTTTAGAGTTAGTAATTTGGGTCAAGCACGATGGGCCAGCTTGAACCCGCCCGAAAAACTTAGGACCAAGCCTAAAAAATATTAATTTTTTATTATTCAGGCCTATTCAGGAGGTTTGAATAGGCTTGAGAAAATTCAGGCAAGCTCGATCGGGTTTGAGCTTGGCCCGAATATCCAAATAAAAAAAATAATTTTTTTAAAAATATATAAATATGACAAATATTAATTAATTTTTTAAGTTTTATATCATTGTATACCAAAACACTATATATATAGTGTTTTAATTATTATTTTTTTAAAAAAATTAAAAATAGTTATATTTCATATTTTTATTATTTTTAATCAATAAAATATCTCAAAATAATATTTAAAATATATTTAAATTGATTTTAATATTTTTAAGACCCAATTTTTTTTAAAATTTTTGAGTCCTATAAATCACTTGCATATAAAAAGAATTTTATATTTTTTATAAATTAAGATGATTAATTTTAAAGTAAAAATAAAATTAAAAATAATTTTTAAAAATAAAATTTTGGCATGTACAAATTCCCAACTCTACTACTAGATAAACATAATAAATAGAATAATATTCTTTAATAATACTTGGTTATTGTCCATGCTAGATTTGGTTAAAAATTAAGATTAAATTAGAATAAGAATCCCTTTTATGTAAGAGTTAAAAATATAAAAAGTTAAAAAATGATTTCAAACAAAAATATTTTACTCATAATTAAATAATTTTTTATATAATATAATGATGGCAAATTTTTTTTATATTCATAAAAATATAAAGTACAATTTATCTAAAAGTTATTAAAATTTAAACTAATTAGGATAATAATTTAAGTTAGTAGTCTAACTGTGATTAAATTGAGATTAACTTAATCATAATTAAAATAATATAATTTAATTAAAATATATAAAATATTTACATATGACTATGATAAGAGTAATATTTAAATAACTAGGACATTAATTTACAAGTAAAGAAAACATTCATGAATAAATTATAAATAATATAATAAAATAATAACAGAGCTACTTAAGTACAAAGTTGATAATTTATTTTTATTTCATTCTTTTAAAATTAAGATAATATTTTATGCTTAATAAAATTATTTAAAAATTAAAATTAGTTCAACAAATAAAAAAATACTTTTAAAAAGTTTTAGGTATTTGGGTAGTCCGAATAAGCTTGAACCCTAAAGGTGCTAGGGTCGAGTTTGACTATATGAGCTTTTTAGAAGGAGTAGGATACTTTAAGTTCGGCCCAAATAAGCCCAACTCGCTCGAATTACCAACTGTAGTATTTTTTTTCTGACTAGTGTGCCAAATTATCCTTATTGTTAACACAGGGTAACAAATCAAAATAATTTGTGTGAGCATATATAGAATAAGTTTTTGTTTATATGCTTCAAATGCATAAAGTATAAAAACCTATTATTGTATTATTTATATGTAAAAGTTGATTATGGTTAAAATATTGATGTAGTTTTATGCCTCAAGTCTGAGCAAAAAAACTAAGCTATAAGTTAATTATATAATGTTAATGAATTTATCTTCCATTTCTCACCTAATCTTTTTTAATACTTTGTATCACTTGTAATACTTGTACATATGATTCATAAATGGTAGTAAAATATGAATTATATTATTTACTTGATTCAGAGACATTATAATTATGATTTATAAATAATATTATCACATAAATTATAATACGATTCATTATAATATATGTTTTTTTTTTTAAGATGATACATGTGGCAATACATTTTTAAAAAAAACAAACTAGATTATATTTCAAAATGTAGGAAGTGAGACATTTTAAAAATAATATTATTTTTTAATATATATAAGCGTAGCACATTGTAGAATAGACATAAAACAATTTTTGGCTAAAAAAACTTTTAACAATTAAGTATGATAATAATTTAAAAATATTTTGTCAAAATTATAAAATTTAAATAAACATAAAATATAAATGATATTGATTGATTTATCTCTTATTTATTAATTTTTTTCTTTATAAATACTTGTTAGAAATATTATTTTAATAAATAAAAAATTAAAATAAAAATAAAAATTTAAAAGAATGCATTAAAAATAATATTTTATTTTAATATGTGTGACTTAACTGTTAACTAATTATTTAATGAGTGAAAATAAATATTTTAAAATAAAAGATTATAACTCTTATTTATTGATTCTAAAGAAATTTATATAAATTTTAAACATAAAAATTTTTTATAAGTAAGACAAAATAAAAAGAAGAGTAATATATTTTACTTTAAGATATTAAAATAATTTTTTAATATTTATATTTATTTTTATTTTTAAAACTAAACATTCTTGTCTATTTCACGGGGTATAAAACTAGTATAAGAGGAGTTTAGAATAAATTAATAAAATAAAATTTTATTAATTAGAGTAATTAATTTTTTATTTCAATAATTAATTTTCGACCTATACTAAATTCTTCCTAAAATTAATTATTAAGCACTAATTATATGTTTTTAAACCCCGATAAACCCATTATCGTGAATGGCAGATCCAGTACTCTTCGTCGGCGTACAGGCATCCCATATTCCGTCGGACGCCGTTCACCGTTGTCAGCCCTGCGTGGTTGTTCTCGGCCAAGCAGTGAAGATGGTTCGAACCCTAGGGCCTTTTCTATTCCCAAAATCCGGTCAAATTTGTTTGTTCAATCTGGTTTTGAATTTGTTCCCTTTGTTATCTGTTCCCTGCGGGGCCGTTCTTGCTTTATTTTAAATTTTTCATTTTAATTTGGCTTTGAATCTGGTCGTGTAACCGTTGAATATTGACGCCTTTGAATTTGGGTATATTTACATATTGTTTTTTTTTTTTTTGTTGCTAGTATTTGGTTGAATAGTGTGTAATTGGCTATTATACTTCTGCCCTTTTCATTTTGATTACTAGCGACTTGTATGATTTGGATTTTGTTGTTTTGCGATGTTGGATTTGTTGTGTATCGGCATTCTGTTTATTAATCTTTTTATATTATCATCAATTTTGGAAATTCTCAAGGTATTTGTGATGTATGATCTTGTGAATGACTTGGTTCGAGTTGTGTCAAAGTGTCTGGAACAAAAATAAAAGGGTATTATATCAACTACGTATATTTCAAAGATTGCAGTGGGGTCAGATGCTAGTGCCCCCACTGAGCGTAGTATAGGTACACGCCTATGTTCGCAGCACGGGGTTATGATACAATTGAAATCTTGGCAACAAGAGAGAAAAGTAGGATTAAATTAATATCTCAGTGATTTAAATTTGTTCAATATAAGCATATGAATGGCTTCTGATTTATCTCTTCCATAATACTGTTTTGCAGCTTTTAGATTGTTTATCTCTGTTTGTATGAATTTTAAACTTATTATTTGACAAGATTTAAAATTTGCTTCAGAAATTTCTTGATGGCTTAACATTTGAATGTCTCTTAAGAAATTATTTTTATGATTTACAACTACACGTCTACACTTCTTTGATTTGCAACTTACAGTACCTTGATTTGCAATTTCGTTTTCCATTTTGAATTAGGAGCGAATGAATTATTTGTTTCAGGCATAATTTAATTGGCATCATAATGGAGAAGGAGAAAAAAGCATGAGGTAAAAAGTTGACTGGCTTGATTAAATGTCTAAAGAATTTAAGAAGTCCCCCCCGGGGGGGGGGGGTAGCTTATTTTAGAAATTACTAGCATTTTTTTACAAGTCCTAGAAACTCCAGAATTGGGTACTTCAAGCATGGTATCTTTGTCCTCTTGAATTTATGTTTATGGGGATTGTGTGTTGTGTTGTTGTTGGGAAAGTTTTTGCTGTTACTTGCTTGAGGAGCAGACACGGAACCTTGCAATGATTACATTTGCTTCTACAACTTTAGAAATTGGTTAATATAATACATGATTTTGGATGGGCATTTCAAGACTATAATATCATTTCAATTATTCTCTCTTTCTTCCCCTCTATCATCCTTCTCTCGCCAGCTTCAAACGTGGTACTTCATGAAAATGTCATTCTATGGCTCACCATGAGGACCAATGTGCCGGCATCATTTTCACTTATTCTACTAACTAGTTAAAAAAACTTTGATTTTGAATTTTTCAGGGCCAACAACAATGACTGAAATTCTTAGCTATTGTTAGAGTTGAAGACAACTTCATCAAAAGGGTGCATGATAAAGCTTCAAAGGCAATTTTATAAGCAAATTGCCATTATTTATGGTGTACGTTTGTTGTATGTTGGACTAGTCTCTTGGGAGTTGTTTGTTGTTCTCCAAAAAAAAAAAAAAAGTTAAAAAAGACAGTCAGCATATCATGCTTTGCTGGGAAAAGGCCCTTCCCCTCTGAGCAACAAACTGCTGCACTGTGCCACCATTGGTCAGGCACGAACCATTCTTTTGATCCACTGACTCATTAACCATTGATGGTCTCAAACTTGAGTACTGGCAGGGCGAGGCCTTGTTGGAGACTGTATTCTTCAACGAGTTAGAGACTACCGCATGTCTCTGTCCAGGTCCAGGTCGTGAGGCAAATAAAGTTTCTTCATAGACTTGCTTTGTAGTGAATTTTGGGCATTATGGTGGTTCAGTTCCATGAGGCAGGAGTAGACAATATTGTGATATTTTCATTTGTCAAGTGATTAAATTCCTGCATTTGGAATCCTGTGTTTTGTGGATCCTGATTATGAAGGTCACTAAGTTGAACATGAAGATTCAGAGAACAAAGAATTTTTGGGCTGGGCGATCTTGAAGTCATCCTTTTGACGGATTTCTCAGTCTATTTTCTCTTGGGTATTCAGGTTCTTGAATCTGAAGCTGAAGGCTACAATTAAATTATAATAATACTATGTATTTGAAGGAAGGGTGTTCTTTAGTGTTAAAAGTGCACAAGCCTTCAATCCCGTTTGTACTCAGCACAAAACCAATTTTTGATCTTGATAAATCCCAAGTCAAATCTGCAAATGTGCCCGTTCTTAAGGAATCTGAAGTTGTGAAAAGATTGAGACATGAGCGAGATGTTGTGTTGGCAATTGAATACTTCAAGTCCTTGGCCAATTCTAGAGCTTTCAAACACACCCACTTGACATACCAGATTATGATTGAGAAACTGGGAAGAAATTGCAATATTGATGGTGTTCAGTATCTTTTGCAACACATGAAGTTGGAGGGGTTGGATTGCTCTGAAGATTTATTCATCCATGTTATACAATGTTATCGGCGAGCTGGGTCAGCTGATCAAGCTTTGAAGATGTTATATAGGATAAGGGAATTTGGGTGCAAGCCCACTGTCAGGATATACAACCACCTGTTCGATTTGTTGCTGGATGAAAATCGGTTTCAGTTGATCAATCCTGTATATAACAACATGAAGGGGGAAGGTTTGGAGCCAAATGTTTTTACATATAACATTCTTATCAAGGCTCTTTGTCAAAATGGAAAGGTGGATGGGGCTTGCAAGTTGCTTGTAGAAATGTCAAGTAAGGGTTGCCCTCCAGATGCTGTGAGCTACACAACTATCGTATCTTCTATGTGCAAGATTGGTCAGGTAGAGGAAGCAAAGAAGCTAGCTGCGAGATTTGCCCCTTTGGTACCTGTCTATAATTCTTTGATACATGGAGTATGCAAAGATAATAAATTTAAAGAGGCCTTTGATTTGATCATTGAAATGCTAGATAAGGGCATTGACCCAAATGTTGTCACTTACTCTACAGTTATCAATTGTCTTTGTGACTTGGGGAATGTTGACATGTCTCTTGCTGTACTTGGCCAGATGCTTATGAGAGGATGTAGCCCAAATATTCATACATTTGCTTCCTTGATGAAAGGCTATTTTTTGTGCAGCCAATTAGGTGAGGTTCTTAGCCTGTGGAGTCGTATGATTCAAGAGGGAGTTAAGCCCAATGTTGTTGCATATAACACTTTAATATATGGTCTCTGCACCAAGAATTATATAGAAGAGGCTATATCTGTTTATAATCACATGGAAAAGAATTGGTGCCCTCCAAATGTTACCACATACAGTTCTCTTATTTATGGTTTTGCAAAATCTGGGACTTTGCTAGATGCTTCTAAGACGTGGAACAAAATGATAACTTGTGGTTGCCGTCCTAATGTTGTGGTATATTCCTGCATGCTGGATGTCCTTTGTCAAAACTCTATGTTTAACCAAGCTAATCGTCTTATTGAGATCATGAACAATGATGGCTGTCCTCCAACTGTTGTTACATTCAATACATTTATTAAGGGCTTGTGTGCCAAGGGACGAGTGGAATGGGCAATGGGTGTGCTTGATGTGATGGAGAAATATAAGTGCTCGCCTAATATCATAACATATAATGAGTTGTTGGACGGTTTATTTAGGGCTAACAGATTTAAAGAAGCCAGTGGGCTTATTAAGGAGTTGGAAGAGCTGGAGTTGGAACTAACTTCTGTTACTTATAATACTATAATGTATGGGTTCTCTAGTGTTGGAATTCAAGAACAGGTTTTCCAGGTTCTCGGGAAAATGTTGGTGAGCGGAGCAAAGCCAGATACCACTACCATTAATATAGTTATCTATGCATACTGTAAGTGGGGTAAGGTTAGAATGGCCACGCAACTTTTTGATAAACTTACAGAAGAAAAGGAATGGCATCCAGACATAGTTGCATATACTAGTCTTTTGTGTGGCATTTGTAATTCGTTAGGCATTGAAGAGGCCATTGTGTATCTTCATAAAATGACAACTGAAGGAATCTTTCCCAATATCGCTACTTGGAATGTCTTGGTTCACTGTTTCTTTAACAACTTGGGTCATGTGGGACCAATTCGCATTCTGGATGATATTTTGGGGAATGGATAGCGCTCAGCTTTTTGCTCTGTCTTAATGATGATACTCATCTGCAGAGTGCAATGCGTATTCATCGGACACTTGCAAACAGGAGAAAGTGTTGGCAAATGACTCTGAAATCAAAGAAAACCTGGTGGGCCAGCTAATACTGACTGTGTTCTGGAATGAAAATAGAAAATGAAACATAGAAAATGAAGGGAATCATTACGAGAGGAAATGAAGGACCTGGATATTGTTCTCCCACACATTACATCCGAGAGTTGATAAGGAAAATGAATGAAAGGAGAGGTCTTCGCCTTGGTCGTGTCTAACTGTGATGACAGAATATATGAGGGGAGTCTATTTTACCTACTTTGGTTGGGGTATCGAAGGGAAAAGAAATTTGTAGTTGTTTGGAGCCCCCACAGGGAATGGATTTTCTTCTGTAGGTGGAGAATGAGGGGGATTGGCTTTCCTCCATTTTCTTCCTCTTTAATTAGAAAAAGCAATTCAAACAACATTTAAGTGTCCCTTTTGTTTCCAACATTTATCCCAATTCAGAAACACCATAGAAGGGAGTGGGGAGAAAGTTGTTGTGGCACATGAAAGATTTTTTTATGTTTAAGCCCTTATATGCTGAATTAATGGTTAGAAAAACTTTGAAGGTCCGATGGTTTACGAAAACTTTTTTCAGTGAAATCTGAGATACAAATCTTCTTTAGGATGGAAGATGTTGTACTTGCCTTGAGGTCCACTGGAGGTCAGGATCAAAGCTCCGTTTCATAACATCGCTCCTGCTTTAACTCTCATCAAGCTGTCAATGAGCGCATCTTTATACAATTCCCCAGTTACCACTAACTTGCATCTTCATTGTAAACTCTTCATTATTTAATACAATTTGCCTCATGGTAATGATCTTTTTCTTTATATTTTTATGGAGGAATAATACCATCAACTGTATTCTGGATGATGACGCTGCTTACTAACTATGAAACCAAGGACACCATGATGAACCCACAGTTGTCATCCAATATGCCCGAGTGACAACGTTGACTGATTTCTTCCCACCACATTGTTTTGCCATGTACTTTCGTCCCTATTTTATGTTCTTTCTATAAAAAAATTACTCCTAACAGTTGCAATGTTCCAATGAACCATTCAACTGCAACAACTGTGTTATTCATTCCCCTATTCCTAGAAGTTTCCGAATTATGACGCTCATCTCGGGGTTGAATCAAGTTGCAGAAAGTTCGTTCATCTCTATCTTCTAAAGCTTATTTATTGTTACCTATATTGTCAATGTCAAATGTTGAAAATGAGCACTAATTAAAAAAAAAAATAATGTCATGATATTAAGTGATTTGGTTATTATCTAAATTATTTATCGGCTATGAAGACTTTTCAGTGTTTAAGACTTTTGAGTGATTAGAAAAGTGCTTTTAAGCCCAGTTCCTTGAAGAAAATTTTTAAAGTCCAAGTTGAACGTTTTTAAATCTCGCAGTGTATATTGTATCTGTCTATCCATTGCATCGCATTTTCTTAGTAATCATCATCAAAATTCTATTCCTTTAATTTATCACTCCAACCACAATTTGAGCAGTGTACAATATTTGTCAATTTTGTTTTATGTTTTTTCTTTTTAGGGAGAATGACACTATGGGACATGAATAATTATTTACGCGTAACTCTTTGCTGTGTAAGAGGGTAATGAAACTTGTGCTATGATTTGATTCAAACTTCAGGGAATGCGTGTGTGTATATGTATTCATATCCATCCCAAGTTAATATCTCCTGGGCAACACACTGACCAAAGTTTCTACTTTTGTTACTACTGACGGAATTAATTAATAATTAAAATGTCATTGTTGTGTTGCGTTGACCAAATTTTATCAAATAGAAAATGTATCACCAGAAAAGTTCTATGTTGTGTGATGTCCTCCGGTAGAAAATTCAACAAGTTGTTAAAAACCACATGAAAGAATTCTACACCGCATTATATATTAGAGGTATGCTTCTTGTGATCTTTAATGTTATCAGAGCCCAGCTATCTTCTCTGCAGTTTGTGAGGTCTTTGTCAACTCATCATGAGAACTCAAGCACCAAACTATGACTCGTATGCTGGCACTTCCACTAATACTGTATGACCCTTCTTTCTCCTTCCTACTGATAACATGCTTTTCTACGCTCTCTTTTCGTTTCATTTAATTCCTTTGTTCTTTGGTTCTGCTCCTATTTTTGTTTCTGCAAATTGTTCTAAATTTTCATGCTAAAAATTCAATGGAAGGAATACATATGACACACGTGCATGTGTAGTGAGAATACGTTTTTTAAGAATTTTTTTTCACTCAATGGTTCATGACGAACCCCTTGCTTTTTCATCTTCCCCCAACTCGTGACCTCTTGCCCAGTAAGCTGGCTGTTGCAGCTTAAATCTTCTGATAATATGAAGTGATCAAGGGACGTAGCCAGAAAATTTTAGTGGGGGCGATAGTTTATTAACAATGTTTAAAACTATTATTATAAGTACTTATTAAAAATAATGTAATAATAAATTTTAATAACTAATAAATGATCAAGAATATGATAATATTAAAATAAACATTACTTTAACATTGACAAAAATATATATTATAATTATAAATAATTTTTAGTTAAAAGAATCATTTATTGTGAAAAGAATCATTTAGTTAAAAAAAATGTAAGGTATTTTTAACTGAATTTTACCCCTTATAAAGAGTTACTTGTGTTCAAATTAGCCTTATTTTACCATATTTACTTCTATTTAATAGGGTGTTTCACCTTAAAATAAATATGAATGATTTATTCAATAGGAGTACTTTTAAAAAATAATAATGATTACACTTTGAAAGATTAAAAATGCCTTACATTTTTTAACATATAATTCCTCAAAAAATGCCTTACATTTTTGAATGGAGAGAGTATATATATTTCAATAATAATTTCTTAGTCAAATATTTTTCTAAGTTCTATAAATAATATAAAAGGAGTAAAATAATTGAGAAACTTTTAAATTAAATTATTATCTATTTGAATAGGCTTGTTGGGAATGTCCAAATTTGGACCAATCTTATTTTATGTTGATCAGCACATCTGAGTAGGATTGGTAGGTTGTGTGCAGTTATTTTTTTAAAAAAAGGTTATGTGAGGCTAATATTTTATTAAAAAAAGGAAAAAATAATTATTTGGTTTCTATAATTATAACTCAATTAATAATCCTTGATCTTTAACTTGATGCATTTCAATTCTTATAGTTTTGATTCGGTTAAAATTTAGTTTCTGTATTTTGACTTGATGCATCTGAATCCTTATAATTTTAACCATTTAAAACATTAGTCTTTTCTAGAAATAACTTTGGTCTTTATAATTTTATTTTCTAAAATGTAAGAAACAATGTTTTAAATTGCTAACACTATACAGACTGAGTTGCTCTAAGTCATAGTTTACATAATAAATTTTAATCGAGTCAAAATTATAGAAATTGAATTGTATCAAATCAAAGTTTAAAGGATTGAGTTTTGATTGAATTAAAAATTAAATGATTAATTTTTCCTTAAAATAATCTCTTTCTTTCAATATGTCACTATCTAGTCATTATTTGACTTATAATCCTGCTACCACATGGTGTCAGAAAAAATGAATGTTGTGACTAATTAACTAGCAAGCATAACCATTTACCGCTTAATTCAATTGGTAAGAAAGTTATATCAACTTAACTAGAGGTCTAGAATTTGACTCCTGAGAATGCAGCTGCATATGGAAGGGTTTGCCCACTTGAAAGGGTCACACAAGTGATCGATCTGGATCAGAATGGGCACTGTCAAGTTCCTTTACCTCAAGTGGGGTAGACTCGGGCTACTGGGTGCCATCTGCCAAAAAGAAAAAAAAAAACAGCAAGCATAAAAGAATGATTCTGGGGTTAATTATATATTTGCTCAAACAATCATATAATTTGCGTGTTCTATGATTCTATCCGGTGAGGCAAGTGCAAGGAAGGTCATGCCATTATGGGCTAGTAATATCTTCTGACTTCAGAGTTTGCCATACTTTATTTTCTTATGTCACACTCAATGTCTCTTCCTTCTATATTTTACTAGCCAGCTAGGTGACAACCTGTCCTTCCCTCAGTATGTGATGTGTGTGTGTGTGTGTGTGTGTAGAGAGAGAGAGAGAGAGAGTTTTTTTTTTTTTTTTTGAGCAAAGAGAGAGAGTTGTTACTCAAAATCGATGAATTATGTACACCATGTTCAGAAACTCGTTGAAAATAGGAATTCGCAACTTTCAAGATATAGTCGCTCTCATATTGCTTTGGTTAAAAAATCAAAGCTGCACACACTAATTAATCACTGCCAGGGAAACATGCAAAATTTCATTTGAATTCTGGTTTTATGAAGGGTAAAGTTTATAAAGAAGTTTGATTAACCTATTTAACAGAAAGATAAGCACTTTGCAGGCTAAGAATAGCCTTTGCTTTCGTGTTGTACCTCCAAAAAGTTTGTGAGTTCCCTGAGTGTGTTGTTTGCTTTTGATAAGACGAACCATTGGACTCGCATGTAAATGAAAAATGGCCTCCCTTACCTTTATGATTCTACAGTTACTTTTGATGCCCCAGGAAAAGTCAACCCCCACAAGTACGTACCAAAATCCAGCTCCTTCTCAGTTTTTAAATGCCACCAAAATTGAATTTTTCTGATTCATTGCATATCTATTCTTATATACCTCTGTTCTTATGAATAAGATGAATTGTCTATTCAATAGTTTGATGAAACATTAGCAAGCCAGAAGGAAATTGATGATTGGCTTCCAGTTACGTCTTCGAGAAATGCGAAATGGTACTACTCAACTTTTCACAACGTTACGACCATAGTTGGAGCTGGTGTACTCAGTTTCCCTTATGGCATGGCCCAACTAGGATGGTAAGAGTATTCAAACCCCGATTGCATTAATTTTAGCCCCATGTCTTTGGAATTTTTCTAACATGATCTCGTCCCATGATCGTGCAACAACCAAAAAAAAATCCTGCATACACTTGTGCATGCCAAGCGTTTGAAGGTTTTATGATTCCAATATTGTTTTGTGCAGGGGTCCTGGTGTGACTGTACTAGTCCTCTCATGGATCATTACACTATATACTCTCTGGCAAATGGTGGAGATGCATGAAATGGTTCCGGGAAGACGTTTTGACAGATACCATGAACTGGGTCAGTATGCTTTTGGTGAAAAGCTGGGCCTATTTATTGTGGTGCCCCAGCAACTTCTCGTTGAAGTTGGTGTAAGCATTGTCTACATGGTTACTGGAGGACTGTCATTGCAGAAGTTCCACCGCACCGTCTGTCCTGGCTGTGATGAGATCAAAGTGTCCTATTTCATTATGATTTTCGCCTCTGCTCAATTTGTATTATCCCATCTCCCCAACTTCAATGCTATTTCTGGTGTATCTTTGGCAGCTGCAATCATGTCCTTGAGGTATGTACATCCATGTCCCTTGTTTTATCTATGCAGCTTCCTTTAATTAGATATAAGGAACCACACGATCAGCAGTGTTTGATTTGTTCTATTTCTTTGTCCTACAGTTATTGTACAATTGCCTGGGCAGCGTGTTTAAAACACGGTATTGTAGACAATGTAGATTATAAGTATAGATCAGATCTTAGTAATGCAGGGAATGTGTTAAACTTCTTTAATGCCCTTGGCACTGTGGCTTTTGGCTTTGCTGGACACAATGTGGTTCTGGAAATCCAAGCAACAATCCCATCTACACCAGAGAATCCATCCAAGGGTCCTATGTGGAGAGGAGTCATTGTGGCCTATATAATCGTGGCTGTGTGCTATTTCCCAGTTGCTCTAATTGGTTATTGGGTTTTTGGAAATCAGGTTGGCGACGAAAATATTCTCATTGAATTAAAGACACCAGAATGGCTCATTGCCATGGCTAACATGTTTGTCGTTATCCATTTAATTGGAAGCTATCAGGTGATGAACACACACACACACACACACACACACACCCCACCACATATGATTCCTTCTGCTTGCTGCAAAGCACCTAAAGCAATATATTCCTGGTTTTTCTGTGTTTCTTAGATTTTTGCAATGGCAGTGTTTGACATGATTGAAACGGTGTTGGTGAGGAAACTGAGATTCAGACCTACTAAATTTCTTCGTTTTGTTGTGCGTAATGTATATGTGGGTGAGTATAACTCTTAGGAGTTTCTACAATATTTTCAATGGATCTATGTTTTGAATCCATATAACCGACTTCATTTAGTGGGACAAGGTTATTTGTTATTATTGTTGTGTGTTTTGATTCGTGAGAGTACATTGACATCCTTTCATTGCAGCCTACACAATGTTTATTGCTATCACCTTCCCATTCTTCAATGGTCTCCTAGGGTTTTTCGGAGGATTTGCTTTTGCCCCAACAACTTACTTTGTAAGTCTCTTGAATGTTTAAAAAGTTGAATCTCGTAAGATCTCTCCTGAGGATTAACATTTGGCTTAACAATTTATGTTCTTTCAACTTTCAGCTGCCTTGCATAATATGGCTTACAATCCGGAACCCAAAGAGATTTAGCTTGTCTTGGTGGACTAACTGGGTGTGTTGGGAATTTTTCTTCTGACGGTATTAATTATTTGCTGCCCTTTTTGATGAATATATGGAATTAAATGGATTGATTTCAGATTTGCATTTCGCTTGGAGTGAGCTTAATGATCGTCGCACCAATTGGAGGACTGAGGGCAATCATAACTGAAGCCAAGACGTACCACTTTTACTCTTAAGTTAACATTCACACTCTCTGGTGAAAGAGTGATGTGTAGCATATGCAAATGAATCGAAACGAATGAAGCTGATGGTCCTGAGGTGGAGCCAATGACTCGTTTATTGGGGTTCGCCTGCAAATCTATCAACCAGTTGATGGAAAAGAAAACTATGGCCAGAGGGATTCTGTTACACAGATGTACATTATATTTGTAGCTTTCTATTACGAGTACATGTTGGTTGTGTTTCATCAGGGAAAACTAGAACTTTTATTCCTTTAATTATCACTCCAATTACGATTAGAGCAGTGTCCATTATTTGTCAATTTTGTTGATCTTTACGATATTTCTATTATTCAGTTATGCATTCCAACACCACCAACTTCTAAAAAGAGAAAATAAAAAAAAAAAAAAACACACACACACACACACAACGGGGAAATTTAGAGTTGAACAAGAGATGGTAGAACTTTCTGATGCTTGCAACCGACAATATCATTTTCAGTTTCTAAGCCTACACAGGCATTTAAATATGGACTGACTCATGTTTGCTTTTGTTCTTTCTTTTAAGGGAGGATGATACTTTAGACCTTGTAAAGAGAATAGTTATTTATGTGCAGCTGTTTCCGTAAGGCAATATCTTTTTGGCCAGAAATAAGAACGTATTTTAACCATTATTTTTAAAATCAGATCAAATGTCAAACTAAAAATACTAGTGGTTTACAGTTTGCATGGTCAAATTAGTTGGACTAATGGTCAAACCAATAACATAATAATTAAATTAAAAATATATACATATATATAATATAAATATAAATTACTACATAATTTAAAACTAAATCCAAATATTTCAAGTTAATTATGAGTTAATAAATTTCATAACACCAACGTAACATTAAATGATTCAAATACCAACACTCATAATAGATATTTTTATACCAATTTAGATTTTTTTAACCTGAGTATTTATTTAGATTAATACATATAAAAAGAATGACAATGATTTATCAAAGAAGGTGTCCAAAAAAAGTGAAAACAAAGGTATTATTTTGATTATTTTGATGCAAGGTTAACATTGGAATAAAGTGCATAAACTAAATTCATTGTTATCTTGTCAAAGTGTCTAAAAAGTGGGGGAGGTTTTTTTAGGGTTAAAACTGGAACAAAGTGAAAAGAAATAAGGTGCCTGATTTTTACAAAACCACTTTGATTCATGGTTTTTTAAGTGTTTTGGGTCCAACCATAGGTTCCAAGTAACCTAATCCAATTCAAAAGTTACAACAATTTTGTGGTTCAAAGTAAACCAAAATAAGAACTAATTGGCGGTCCAACCGATTGGATTATCCAGTTTGGTTCAGTTTTAATTGAAATTATTGATTGAAACCTATGCCGTAAGTTTGATACAAACTTGAGAGTTTATTTTTGTTTCATGCCCATCCCAAGTTAATATCTCCTAGCCAAAGTATATTTTCTAGTTATGTTTGGAAACGGTGATGATCAATTTAGACGACATTTATGTTTTATAAGGGTTTCTGGGTCATGCTTCTAGGTAGAAAACACTCCCATCTGTGCTAAATGTTGTAGGAGCGAGTTAAAGAGTTTGTTTTGGTTGGAAATGTAAAACCCCAATTAAACGCGTACAATGAAGAGTAGTTTCCATTTTCCAATGTAAATAATTTACAAAAAAAAAAGAAAGAAATACCTTGGAAAAATCAACACACATTTTTTATATTTACTTATATCCTTAATTTATGTGAATTAGTAATCTAGCCCCTACATGAGGGAATACCAGATTTACAACTGTCTGCAATCTGTCGATGGGATGTTTAAGGCACAAGGAAGTCTTTTTGGCGGAATACAATTTAGTCTTTCCATTGCAAAATTGGATAATTTGGAACTCAGATGAAATGGAGAATCAAAGGGAAAATAAATTTATACTTGCCTGGATTGGATTTTCTTCTCTATGCGGAGAATAAGGGGGATTGGCCTTCCTCCATTTTCTTTCCTCTTTAATTAGAAATAGCGATTCAAAATGAATTAATTTGTCAGATGGTTTACAAAAACCTTTTTCTGCGAAATCCCAGATTCATAACATTGCTTTGCTTTGACTCTCATCAAGTTATCAATGAACGCATCTCTACTGTCAAAGAGAGAGAAAAAATTGGATTCCAAAAGTCTACCGAGTGTGGATTATCCAACCAAGTGAAATTCAACAAATCTGATGTCAGAGAATGCTGTTAATAAAGTCCAATAGGGCCGAGCGACACGTTGACAAGTCTGATTTCTTCCCACCGTATTGTTTTGCCACGTAATTTCTTCCTTATTTTATATTCTTTCTATAAAAAAATCACTCCTAACAGTTGACAATGTTCTAAACTTATAATAAACCATTCAACTGCAACAACTTTGTTACTCAATCCCCTATTCCTAGAAGTTTCCGAATCAAATTGCCGCAAGTTCGTGCGTCTCCTGTATCTTCTAAAGCTTATTTAATGTTTCCTATATAACTATATTGTCAATGTCAAATGTTGAATTTAAGCACTAATATAAAGAAAATAGTGTCATGATCCTAAATGATTTGGTTGTTATCTACATTATTGATCGGCTGTTTTATGTTTTTTCTTTTTAGGGAGAATGGCACTTTGGGACGAGAGTAAATTATTATGTGTAACTCTTTGCCGTGCAAGAAGGTAATGAAACTTGTGCTATGATTTGATTCAAACTTCAGTGTATGTGTATATTATATTTTCATGTCCATCCCAAGTTACTATGTCCTGTGCAATACACCGGCCAAAGTTTCTACTGATGTCATTATTGATGGAATTATTTATTAATAATGAAAATGTGTCATTGAGGTGTTGCGTTGACCAAATTGTATGAAATAGAAAAATGATCACCAGGGAAAGTTCTATGTAATGCGTTGTCTCCTCCGGGAGAAAAGTCAACGAGTTATTAAAATGACAAAAAGGAATTGTACAGTGAGTTATATATGAGAGGCATGCTTCTTGTGAGATCTCATCTCTGGAAATATCAGTTGTGAGATCTGACTCAACATGGGAACTCAAGCACAAAACGATGAGTCGTATGCAGGCACTTCCACTAATATCGTATGACTCTTCTTTCTCCCTCTCCTTCTGTAACATGCTTTTCAGTTCATTTAATTCCCTGCTGCTTTTTTCCTTCTGCTCCTATCTTTGTTTCTGCAAATTCTTCTAAGTTTTCAAGCTAACAAATCAATGGAAGCAATATATATATATATATATATATGTATGTATGTATGTATGTATATGTATAGAGAGAATATCGTTATTTTAAGATAAATTATTTTCACTCAATGGTTCAGGACGAACCCCGTGCTTTTTCATCTTCCACCGGTAAGCTGCCTCTGCCTGGGGCTGCTTAATCTTATGATAATATGAAGCGATCGAGGGACACATGACCAGAAAATTTTAGTGGGGGTGATAGTTTATTAATAATGTTTAAAATTATTATTAGTATTTTTTAAAATAATGTAATGATAAATTTTAATGACTAATAAATGATCGAGAATATTAATATTAAAATAAACATTGAGAAAAAGTGTATATTATAATTATAAATAATTTTTAATTAAAAAGATTATTTATTGTGAAAAGAATTTTTTTTTTCATATATATATATATATTTCAATAATTATTTCTCGGTCAGATATTTTCCAAAGCTGTATAAATAATAGAAAAGAAGTAAAATATTTGAGAAACTTTTAAATTAAATTACTATCATTCATGCGTCATGTAGGGAAGATGACATCAAGTTATTTTCAAACTTTGTCAAAAAAATAAAGGTAATTTTCAAAACTATATTATTAAAGTCACATGAACTTTACGTAATCTCCCTGACCGACGAGGCTTGTTGGGAATGTCAAAATTTGGATCAGTCTTCTATTTTTATCTTGATAAGAGGTTGTGTGCGGTTTTATTCTTCTTCTTCTTCTTGAAGGTTATGTGAGGTTAATCTATTATTTAAAAAAACAAGGAAAAATAATCACTTAATTTTTATAATTTTAACTTTTAAAATTCAAACTTACTTGACTTGATGTATTTTAATTTGATAGTTTTGACTCAATTAAAACTTAATTCCTGAACTTTATTTTTATAAAGATTGATGCAATTCATTTTTATAGTTTTAGTCATTTAAAATATTAGTTTTTTTCATTAATTTATATAAGAACCAGCATTTTAAATTGTTAATTGTACCAAGTCAATGTTTAGGAAATACATTTTAACCTAATTAAAATTATTATGGATTGAGTTATGTCAAGTCAAAATTTTGGATTGAGCTTTTATTGAGTTAAAATTATAGAAATTAAATAATTAACTTTTTTCAAAATAATCTTTCTTTCAATATATCAATCTCTTGTCATTATTTGACTTATAAATATAAATCCAGCTACTAATGGCATCATAAAAGTGAATGTTGTGAATTATGACCAATTAACTAGCATGTGTTTGGCTCAATTGCTATGAAAGTTGTACCAACTTAATTAAAATTAAGTCTTGAATTTGACTCTTGAGAATACAATTGATTCTAATACTTGATGGAAGAGTTTGTCGCTTGAAAGGGTTGCACAATTGCTTAATCTTAACTAGGATGGATCCTGTTAAGTTTTTTTAGCTTGAGTTGGATAGAGTCTAGATACGAGACGTAGAACAAAAAAATTAGCAAGCATTAAAAAATGATTAGGGTTAATTATGTATTTGCTCAAACAATCGTATAACTTGTGCAGTGTGTTCTATGATTCTATCCCGAGAGGCAAGAACAAGGAAGGTTATGAGCTAGTATTGCTATTATATTCAGATTTCAGAGTTGGCCATACTTTTTTTTCTCATGTCACACACAACTCCCTTCCTTCTATATTTTATTAGCCAACTAGGTAACAACCTGTCCTCCTTTATGCATACGATGTTTCGAAACGGCAGAGGGTGTTTTTACTTTTTTTTTCCGTTCATTTTCCTCTCTACTTTTTCAATCTCCATCATTTATTAATTTTATCATTTAAAAAAATTATTTAATAAAATAATATGAATGGTAGGAATTGAAAAAATGAAGAAAAATGAAGAAAAAAAAAAGTGAAAAGACTCCACTTCATATGGAAACTAGAAACTCATTGAAATAGGATTTCACGACTTTCAAGATAAAGTTGCTCTCACGTTGCTTTGGTTAAAAAACCGAAGCTAAACACGCCAATTAATCATTTCGGGCAAACATGAGAATTTCATTTGAATTCTAGCTTTATGAAGGAAAAAGTTTATAGAGAGGTTTAA